TCTTAAAAGTTCTCATCACAAGTTTTTTGTAACTTTGTACAATGACAGATGGTAACTAGCCTTATTGTAGTGATCATTTTGCAGAGTATCCAAACATCGAATCATTATATTGTACACCTGAAACTAATGTAATGCTATATGTCAATTATGCCTCAATAAAAAAAACTGATATGAAACAGTAAAGGCCAACTGCAAAATATATGAAGAATATTGTAGGGAGAGGTTAAAGGCACTTGGCCTTCAAGAGATCGAGCTATATTACAAAGCTATATGAATTAAAGAGAGTGTGCTACAGACAGACCCATGGATATGTGGCATCTTGATAAATGACCACTGTGGTGTTATAAATCAGTGGGGAAATGACAAAATATTCAATATGTGGTCCTGGGTCAGTCACTTATCAATATATAACATCAATTCCAGGTAGATTAAAAACCTAATTGGAAAAAGCACAAGTTTTAAACTTTTACAAGAATATGTAGGGTAATATTTTTATAATCTGATGGAGGAAAGGATTTATTAAACAAGGCATAAAATACAAATATTTGAAGGAAAAGATTGATAAATTTGACTATATTAAAATCTTAAAAACTCCCTTTCAATCTATATTCCAAATACTAAAAAGAAAAGATAATTACGTAATGTGATAGAGGTGCTAATTATGACAATCATTTTACAATGGATAAATGTATCAAATTAACATGTTGGACACCTTAAATTTACACAATGTTATATGTCAAATATATTTCAATAAAAATATATATTAAAAAAAGATAATCTACAGATAGCAGTAATATATTTGCATATCATTTGTTCATTCATTTATTCAACAAGTATGTATTGAATGTCCATTATGTGTCAGATGCTATGTTATACTAGGCAGTGGAGATTATCTCCAAGAATAAAACAGACACAAGTTCTTGACCAAGTGGAGCTTACATTCTAGTGGAAGACACAAGACAATAAATAAAATAAATGGTAAAATATATTTATGATATAAAGCATAGAAGGGAGATAGAAAGTGCCAGGAATGACAGAGGTTGCTGTTTTAGATAGGACTGCTAGGAAAGTGTATTGGTTTTCTATTGCTGCTGTAACAAATTATCACAAACTTAGTGGCTTACAGAAAGCCACTTATAGTTCTGGAGGTCATGGTTAGGAAGTGGGCATCTTTGGAAAGCCATTATTTGGGCTACCACAGAAGGCCTCAATGAAAAGCTGCCATTTTCAGTGAGGATATGAAGGAAGAAAAGAACAAGTCATGAAGAGATTTGTGGGAAGAGCAATCCACCAGAAGGAACAGCAACTGCTAAGGCCTTGAGGTGGGACCATGCCTAGCCTGTTTGAGAACAGGTCAAAGAGGATGGAGCAGAGTTAGCAAACGGTAGATGTGAACAAGGTAATGGGATGGTGGTTAGGCCACAATATGTAAGGGCTTGTAACAACTTTGACTTTGACTCTGAGGGAGATGACAGTCCTTGAAGTTTTAAGTAGGGGAGTGACATCATCTTTGTATATGTTAATGGAATCACTCTGTCTGCTGTGTGGAAAAATGACTGAAGGTGAGAGCAAAACTGAAAACACCAGACCAGTGTGTATCAGTTTTCTCTTGCTGCGTAACAAACTACTCTGAAACTCAAGTGTTTTAAAACAACAGTTTATTATTTTTCATGATTCTGTGCATTGATTGGATGGTTCTTTTGCTCCATGGTGGTGATTGCTGGGGCCATCATGCTTTTGCCTTCAGGAGGGAGTTTAGCTGGGACTGGAATGTTCCAGAGAGCCTCACTCATATGTCTGGTGCCTCAGCTGAGTTGCTAGTAAGAAACGGGGGCTGGTCAGGCCTCTCTTTCCAACAGGGTAGTCAGACTTCTTACATGGTGGCTCGAGGTTCCAAGAGAGCTAAAGGGGAAGCTGTCGGGTCTCTTAAAGGCCCAGTAGCACTTCCTCCACATTCTATTAGTTGAAGCAAGTCAAAAGGCCAACTGAGTTTTTGGGGGAGGGGAAAGCGACTCCACCTCTTGATGGGGACTGACATCTGTGTTCAGTTAGGAGGGTACTGCAGTATTTCAGGCGAGAGATGATAGTAGCTTGGACTAAGGGGGTAATAGTAGAATTTGGGGAGATTGGTTGTAATCTGAATAGATACTGAAGGTAGAGCCAATAGGATTTGGTCATGAAAAGCATTTCAGTCTGCATGAGCTGCCGTAACAAAATACTGTAGACTGGGTGGCTTAAACAGAAATTTATCTTCTCACAGTTCTGGAGGCTGGAAGTCCAAGATCAGGTGCCAGGATGGTCAAGATCTGGGGACATCTCTCTTCCTGGCTTGTAGATGGTCACCTTCTTGCTGGGTCCTTGCATAGCCTTTCCTCGGTGTGTGCACATGGAGAAGGAGCTCGCACTCTCTTCCTCTTCTTATAAGGCCACCAGTCCTACTGAATTAGGGCCCCACCCTTATGACCTTATTTAACCTTAATTACCTCCTAAAAGCCCTATCTCCAAATAACTCACATTGAATTTTAGGGCTTCAACATATGAATTTTGCAGGACACAATTTACAGAAAATATGACGTGGAACGTGAAAAAAAGAGGAGTCAAAGATGACTCTAGTCTTTTAGTCTGATCAATTGGAAAGAGATTTACATTAACTGAAACAGGGAATAATGCTGAAGAGATGGGTTTTGGGGAATTGTTACATTCAATTTTGGACACGTTAATTTTGAGATACACATTAGACACTCAAGATGAGATACTGAATAGGTGATCTGATATGAGTTTGGACTGGATACATGCGTTTTCTGGACTGGAGATAGAACGTTGGGGATTATTAGAATATAGATGGCATTAAAAACCATGAGAATGGGATCAATACAAGTGTAAGTGTAATAGAGCAGAGGAAGTCTTCTGGAGCAATTCAATGCTAAGAGTTTGAGGAGATGAGGAGGAACCACAAAGGGTTGAGGAGAACTGGCTAGTGAGGTAGAAGGGAAGTCAAGAGAATGTGGTGTCCAGTAGTGACACAGAGAATGACAACTGTGTTAAATGCTGCTCATAGGCCAAGTGAGATGAGGATTAAGTATGACCAGCATATCTAGCAATATGGAAGTCATTCGTGATCTTGACAAGAGCAGTTTCTGAAAAGTGATAGCCTGATTAGAGATGGATCAGGAAGAACAGGAGAAATAGAGACAGTACAGGGGAGCAGAGAAATGGTGTGTAAGCTGGAGACAGAAGTGGAGTCAGATGTATTTTAAGATGGACAATATGATTATAAGTTTGCATCGTGCTAGGAATGATGCAGTAGAGAGCAAAAGAAAAAAATAATATAGGAGAGAAAGGCGAGAATTACTGGCATACAGGGAAGGGAAAATACCCCAGGTATTTGCACAGCTTATATTTACCTCCTTCAGATGTATGTCCCCTCCCCAGTGAGCTCTTTTTCTGACCATCCTATCTCAGTTGCAACTCTTACCCCCACCCCCGGAAACTCTACCCTTCACATCTTTTTCTTTTCATCTTATTTTTCTCTATAGCAGTGATCACTTTCTAATGGTATATACTTTACTTACTAATTTCGTTCTTTGCTCTCACTAGAAAATAAGCTTCATGAGGACAGGGATCACCAATCCTTACAATGGTACCTGTAACATGGTAGGCGCTCAATAAATATTTGCTGAATGAATACGAAAACGGTTGTGTCCTTTACAGCACAAATTACATCATCAGGCATAAAAGAGGCATGGAAACGTTTGTTGAAGATGATCAAATCTGTAGTTAAAGTACCTTACTTTTTTTTTTTTTTAGGAAGATTGGCCCTGAGCTAACATCCATGCCCATCTTTCTCTACTTTTATATGTGGGATGCTTGCCAAAGCATGGCTTTATAAGTGGTGCGTAGGTCCACGCCCAGGATTTGCACTGGCAAAGCCCAGCGCAGAAGCAAATTGTGAGAACTTAACCGCCACGCTACTGGGCCAGCCCTGTATTTTACGTATTTTTAATTACAGATTATTAAAAATAAATTTAAGCCATATTGCTTATTACTTTTCCCTAATAACATTGCAGTATGTCTATATAACTACATGTATATATTTACAGGACTTGAAAAGAATGTTTCCCATCACTCTTTTTAAAATCTTTTAACAGCTTTATGGAGACATAATTCACTGATTTACAATTCATCCATTTAAAGTGACCAGTTCAATAGTTTTTAGTATATTCCAGATATGTGCAATCATCATCAGTTTTAGAACATCTTTATCAGCTGAAAAAGAAACCCCACACTCTTTAGCCGTCACTCATCTATACCCCTCTCCCGTGCGTCTCAGCTCCAAGCAACTGCGAGTCTAGTCTCCATAGACTTGCCTATTCTAAATATTTCAAATAAATGTAATCATACAATATGAGGTCTTTTTGTGACTGGTTTCTTTCACTTAGTATAATGTTTCCAAGGTTCATTCATATTGCAGCATGGATAGCATTTCATTTCTTTCTATTGATAAATAATATTCCATTGTATGGTCATACCACATTTTGTTTATCCATTCATCTGTTGATGGACGTTTGGGTGCTTTCCACCTTCCTGTTATTGTGAATAGTACCGCTGTGAACATTCACATACAAGGTGTACAGCTAGCAGTGGAATTACTGGGTCATAAGGTAATTCTATGTTTAAGTTTTTCAGACTGCCAAACTATCTTCTACAGTGGAGGCACCATCTTACATTTCTGCCAGCAATGGATGAGAGTGCCAATTTCTCCATATCCCCATTAACACTTGTTATTTTCTACTTTTTTGATTATAGCCATCCTTGTGGATGTGAAGTGGTATCTCATTGTGGTTTTGCCCATCCCTCTTCACTCTCTCAAATACCAGCTTCTCTCTCCAGTAAAGAACTGGAACATTACTTTCTCCTACTAAGTCCTAGCATTGCTTGAAAAACAAATCTGTGAGTTGGTATGTGTACACTTCACAATATCACTATGGACATACGGGTACCTTTTAAATACTAGAGTTATCACTTTAAAAATGGTCACTAAAGGGGGCTGGCCCCGCGGCTGAGTGGTTAAGTTCGCGCGCTCCGCTGCAGGCATCCCAGTGTTTCGTTGGTTCGAATCCTGGGCACGGACATGGCACTGCTCGTCAGACCATGCTGAGGCAGCGTCCCACATACCACAACTAGAAGAACCTACAACGAGAAATATACAACTATGTACTGGGGGGCTTTGGGGAGAAAAAGGAAAAAAATATAAAATCTTTAAAAATGGTCACTAAAGATTCTGGCAACTCCCCATGATATATCCTGCCCCCTCTCCGCCCACGTTCATATAATAACTACGTAAGGTAAATGCTGAAACAGAAAATCCCTTGAGGGCCTATGTTTCTTCTCTTGATTACAGCCATGCATCACTTAACAATGGGACACATTCTGAGAAATACGTCATTAGGTGATTTTGTGGTTGTGCAAACATCACAGAATGTACTTACACAAATCTAGATGGCATAGACTATTATACATCTAGGCAATATGGTACTAATCTTATGGGATCACCATTGTATATGCAGTCCATCATTGACCAAAATGTCATTATGCAGTGCATGACCATTTATGATTTTTTCAATACCGAAAATCAACTTTGATATGTGATTTTTTTTTTTTCCCGTAGAGGTGACAAATGTGAGGATTTATAAACTGCATAAAAACAGGTGTGTTTAAAAGCCTTAGAGTTTTATTCAGAGTCAAATGTGGGCAATTAGAATGCAACAGCAGGAGGAGGAAAGAACACCATTCCAGAGCTAAGGTCTTACTGAAATCTTTACCTTCTTCTTCCTGACCTGGGGTGATAGTTTTCCTTTAAAAACAAACAAAAATATGTTTTGCCAAATACCAAAACTATGTGTATGCATCTGAAGCAATAAAACCAGGAGACAGTCAAGGTGAAGGTGCCTTCTGCAGGTTGTCAGAGATTGAAAGGTATTTCCTGACAAAGGAGTAGCTATGGTTGGGACACCTGGGGTCACTGCATATGGAAATAAACGCTTGGAAAGTGTCACCGGGATTCACCTTCATTAAGTACTCTGAGAAGTCATTACAGGTTGTGAAACAGCATTCTGATCCTTAAATTTATGGAACACAGTGAAAAGCAGTTCAAGCAACATAGCTGTAGTTGAACAGCTGAACAGGAGTGGTGGCTGGAGAAAGGAAAGCAATATGGCTGCTCCAGATTTAAAAAAACTTGAGGTCTAGGTAGCTGCTACTACAGTAGCTAGGAAAAATACACTTCTCCCAGACTATGATGGAAAAATAAGCATTGACTAAAAATGTTCATAAGTTACTGGCTTCCTTTGATCTAGAGGGAGTCACAGTAAAATGGCCACATTTATAAAAGAGTTGTCTATATATTTTTTTCGACGATCAAGTCATCTCTAATCAGAGTAGGCAGATACTGGTGGGTAACGTCAGCAGGGTCAGACCTCACACAAACTCAGAATTATTTGCCCAACATCCACAAAGCAACTGTTCAGCCCAGGTCCTCAGGAGCCTGTTGTATCCATGAATTTGACTAACTAATTCCTGTATTCCAAGAGCTGCAAAGGCATGATGGGTGGTGGTGATTTCTTGCTTTCGAGTTGGAAGACACCCTAGAGATTACCCAGAGCAGAAAACCTTCCCAAGACACACTCCTGTCAGGGGCTGGAAATTACCACCACATTCTAGCCAATTTGTTTCATTTACTGTTCCTTTGTTTCTAAATCAACAAGGAGGAAAGAGACTGTGTGTACAATACAAGCCTACAATACGGAGGTTATTTGGAGAAATCACAACAGAATATTCTTTGTTTCCCCTACTAGGCCTAGGCCACCCAACTTACCAAGTCTTAGCCTGAGCTTACTTACACCTGGAGGATGCTGGATTGCCACTTTGTTACGCATCCTGATGATGGGAGGTCATTCAACAAACACTTCCGGAGGTTACACGGGCACTGTGCCAGCACAGTATGGGCGGGGTGGGGAACAAAGACTAATAAGTCTAAGATATGGCAGCACCTGCCCACAATTTTATTAAAAGCTCACAATTTAGTAGTGCACACCTGTTATTATTACTAACCTCTCTGTTTTGGAGAGCGACGTTGGGAGAAGGGTATCAAAGCTAACGTTTGAGCATTTACCATGTGAAAGGCACTCTTACATACACCTTACTATAAACTCACTTTGTCTTCAAATAATCCTATGAGGCGGGTACTATTCCATCCCTAGTTTACAGATAAAAAAAACTGAGGTGCAGGGGGCCGGCCAGGTGGCATAATGGTTAAGTTCCTGCTCACGGTTTAGGTGGCCCGGGGTTCACGGTTCTGATCCCAGGTGCCAACCTAGCACCACTCCTTGGCAGCCACGCTGTGGAGGTGTCCCACATACAAAATAGAGGAACACTGGCACAGATGTTAGCTCAGGGCCAATCTTCCTCACCAAAAAAAAAGAAAAAAGGAGAGAGGTACACAAGTTAGCCATTTCCTTAGTCATGCAATCACTCAGTGGCGGAGACGAATATGAAGGCAGGCAGTCTGGCTCTAGAGAGCCAGGAAAAAGGACTAAAGCGAGAGACGACGGGGAGCAGGTAGGAGAAGGTGGCAGACAGGCAGGGCCGAAGGGGAGAACGGAGGGTGGTTTTACCTTCGTCAGAAAAAATACCAATAACGCCATCAACTCATTGATTTGCATATTTCCATCACTTTAGCTCCTGGCCTCACTGTGGGAAGTTTAAAAACTCCTAACTGTAAGGTTGGGCTTCAGTCCTGAGAAGACGTCTCACAGGACATCAGCCACTCCTTTCTTCCTCACAGCCTGGTCTCCTGCACAGGCGGCCGCTCCTGCGAGGGAACTACAACCCCCACTATGCACCACGCGGGAGGCTGGGTCCATGCTGAGGGAAGGCGAGGGTGTCCCAAAGGTGCCTTGAGAAAAAAAAAAAAAATCACAATTTTCGTCGCTTTCCTACCTTCACACGGATCTCATCTCCAGGAGGCCGCCTCATCTTTTTCATTAACAGCGCAAACAGAGACTCGAGTGGCGTAGCTTCTGTCTTCAGGCACAGCCGAGGGCAGGCGCGACGACGGCGCGCGGGCGCGAGGTCCCCCGGGCCAAGCGCGGGGCGGAACCAGTGGCGGCGGGGCTGAGTCGCAGGCCGGAAGTGTGCGAGGGAGAAGAGAGAGGTCTGAGTGGCTGCAGGCGCGGCTTCCGGCCGGTGCGTCGACGTCGCCCGGCAGCAAAGGGCGCTTCAGCGGGCTCTCTGGCGGTCGCCTTACGCACTCCGCTTGCACCGAGGCCCTCAGTGTCCGCTCGTCTCACCGTAGGCCGTGACGACATGAGCAACAAAGAAGGTGGTGTCCTCGACAGCCTTGGGCGTTATTTACCTAAAGGGGGAGGCTCTCCAGCCCTTTTGTCAGATTTTCCACTTCTCACCCTTGGGGGATGCCCGCGCCTCTTGCAGGCCCGGGGCGGGGTGGGGGCAGCCCTGCTGATCTTCTCGGCCACACTGGCCCTCCTTACACCCTTCGTTTTGTTAAATCCTCGAGCTGTTTTTTATGTTAATTCGATCATTCCTCTCCTTGTGCAGATCATGGGACCCATTGGTGGAGGCCCAGATGACATGAGCTTAGGGTTTGAGGGGGAAAAGCAGAGCAGCTGAGAAAGCCTATAAGGCAAGGGCCCTGTGGGGCTCTGGTTTTAAAGGAAGGAAGGGCGGGGGGAGGGTTTGCCTGTGTGATATTTTGTCAGCTCTTGGCGAGGGAAGAGCCCTATCCGACTGTTTTCTCCTTTTCTACGTTAGGATCAGGAGGGTTCAGGAAAAGGAAGCATGACAATTTCCCACATAACCAGAGAAGAGAAGGGAAGGATGTTAATTCATCTTCGCCTGTGATGTTGGCCTTCAAATGTAAGTTGGCGAAGGGAAGAGGACTAAAGAGGCGGTAACGAGGATTCTTTAGCCGTGGGCTGCGCGAGGACAGCCCCCAGGAATTTAGGATGTGCCTGTGTGAGCCTCTTTTCCTGGAGGGTTTGCCGTGGTGCTAGGTCTGCCGCGAAAGTTGTGATTACGAAAGTCTTGACTTTTTTCCCATGACAGTTTCCCAGGTAAACATTAATTAATGAGCATCAGACATGCCACGCACCTAAAAATTATTGTGTCCCTGATATATATTATATATGTCATATATGTATATCAGATGTGTATATATGTGTGTATGTATATATATATCAGGTGTTTATATACATGTTTAATCAGTTTTTTATTGTGTGTTGGTTTTGTTTCCTCAACTAGACTTCTGAAGACGGGAACTATATTTTTGTTTTGACTATAGCACTTTGCACCCAGTAGGAACGCATATCTGTTAGTAAATCATATATATATATATTCATAATCCCTCTTTTCTCAGTGTTTTAACTTCATCAAACTGGTTCTCATTTCAAAACAAAACATAAAACAAAATTCTCCCTCCTCTTGTCCTCAGTCTGCCACACTGGACCTTATAGTTTCTGTGGTTCAGGGAGCTGAGAGGGGCTTGCCTGTTGATTCTGACTTGCAGTCCTTAAAAGGCCCGATTGACAAGTTAGGCCTTCTGCCAAAAACTGGCTCTCGCTTCCTCTCTGCGTGGACCCCTCCATAGTGCTGCTTGAGTGCCCTCGTGTAGCATCTGGCTTCCCCTGGACAGAGAGCAATCCCCTGTGTCCTAATCTTGGGCATCATGCACCATCACTTTTGCTAGCTTCTGTTTGTTACATGAGGTGGCTTAAAAACTCTGCCTCGTATTTAACGGGACGGGAATTAGGTTCCACCTGTTGAAGGGAGGAGTCTCAAATAATTGATGGATCTGTTTTAAAACCACCACAGCACTTGAAGTGATCTTCAGTGGTGTAAGACAACTAGTTGTAATTGAGTAGAGAGCCTATTGATACCGCTGTGTACTCAGTGGGCTAGAGCTGCCTGCTTCCAGTTATGTTTTGCTGTTTTTATTTTCCTGCCTGCCTTTTCACACACAGTTCTTTAACCTTGGAATTGCTTCTAACTTGGTGCCCCCATTGTCCATCGGGTGAACTATGGTTTTCTTCAAAACCCAGCTCAAGTGGCTTCTATTTGAAGCCTTTCTGGTTTTTCTCTCACGCAGATTGGTGACAAACGTAGCATTCATTCATTATCCATCCTTCCATTCAATCGTGAAGTATTCATGGAGTATCAGCTATGTTCTGGCATGTGTTGTTAGTGAACAAAAAAATGTGGTTCCTGTTTTACTGAACCTGTTACATATGTTTACTGTAGCATGGTCACATTTTATTTCTCATACTGGACTAAGCTCCTTGAGAACAGGATCTGTCTTATTTAACTTGGTCTTCGTAATGACCACTGTGAAGTGGGGTCATTAATGTTTTCATAATAGATAATGAATACATTTGGTTATCTTGAGATATTAGGCAAATCCTAGCCTAATTATTATCTCAATAATAACAAACTAGATGTATTTAGGTCCCTGTCAACTACTAATTTGGTTAATAGTTTATTCAAGTTTTGGATTTTTTTAATTCATGCAAAATACATCTATTGGGTGCCCCAAATATGACAGGCAGCTTTCTAGGTCTTTGAAGTGACAATGCTTCTGAAATAAAGTGGTTTTTAAGAGTTAAGTGGTTTATGGGTATTTCAGTGACTAGGGCTTAAAAATTCAGAAAGTTAACGTTATTAAAACTTATAAACTTTTAATTTAAAAACTCCAGTTTCTTTTTTGGGAGATAATTGTATGTGATAAGGTAATTAAAAAAAACTTGATGTAACTTAGGGAGATAGTTGGAAGTAATTGTTGTAAGTAGTTATGTGTGATAATCTCATGTTTACTAGACCAGATAATTTTTACAATATATACATCTCATGGTGAGACTCTGAGTGGTAAAACCCAGTTAAGGCATACCTGTATTTAAAGAAAGAATATTTTGGTTACTAGCAGAATCTTTGATTTCCAAGTACTTTAAAAATAAATAAGATGATTTTGTCCTCTTCATTTTTATGGAGTAAATAATGTTTGCTTGCTCGTGCATAATAACAATATTGTTTGATGGATTAAATATAGAATATGTGTGCTTAGGATCATAATACTGTGTTCTTAGCGTTTCAGCAGGAACTTGATGCGAGACATGACAAATATGAGAGACTTGTGAAACTTAGTCGGGATATAACTGTTGAAAGTAAAAGAACCATTTTTCTCCTCCATAGGATTACAAGGTAAGTAAATATCTTTAAAACTTGTTATAGTTGGATACAGTTTGATATGTATTTTATAAATGTATTTTGTAATGCTTTATACATCAATGGGCAATAACTTGCTATTAGAATAATCTGTGACTTATTCTGTGAACACTGGAGTCAAAGGACGGTAACAGCAGGTAGATTTTCTTTTTCTAAAGATTGGCACCTGAGCTAACAACTGTTGCCAATCTTTCTTTCTTTTTTTTTTAATTGCTTCTTCTCCCCAAATCCCCCCAGCACATAGTTGTATATTCTAGTTGTGGGTCCTTCTAGTTGTGGCATGTGGGACGCCGCCTCAGCATGGCCTGATGAGTGGTGCCATGTCCGTGCGCAGGACATGGCACCTGGGTCGCCAAAGCGGAGCACGAGAATTTAACCACTTGGCCACTGGGCCGGCCCCGCAGGTAGATTTTAAGAATAAACATTTTAATAAAAATAAGAGGGAAAAATTCTTCTTTACAGAGCAGCTGGGGATTTTGTGTTCTGTTAAGATCATTCATTGATATAGCTATTATTTGTGAAAATATTAAATTTTGGATGGTTTATTAGAGCCTAAAATGTTAAAGTTTTACTTGGATGACACATGCATAAATTTTAATATTAGATAAATGTTAAAATCTGCTTATCTTCCAATTCATTTTTCAACTCATTGCAGTCTGCCTTTCTGCCTTACAACTATTGAAATTGCCCTTGTTACCTTCATATTGCTAAATCTAGTACACTCTCTTCTGCTATTTTCTTATTTTACATTTTTGCAGCATATGATATTGTTGACTACTCTTCTTTGAAATTTCCTTTTCCTTCAGCTCTGTGACATTAATTTCTTTGAGATTTCCTTCTCTAGGGTTTTACTGTTTTATCTTTCTAGCTAGGCTCTGTATATTTAATAGATTTTTTTGGTTGCAAGTAAAAGAAACCAGCTTAAACACTAGCCTACGTAGAGAAGGAAAGTGAATTATAAAGATTCCGGAATATCTTATGAATGCATCTCCATCTTTCATCTTTGCTTCTTTGTTTGCTTCATATTTCATTTGACCAGCTTTCTTTGCGTCTCTGTTCCACATGGGGGTAGAAAGTGCCCACCCTGCAATTCGCTACAAGAGATTCTTGTTAGAAATTCCAGATGTCTCTAGAAGGAAAGCTATGATAGGCTTTACACTATGTATCTTATAAAGTATTTGAGGCAGACCAAACATAGTTTATCATCTTTTTATTATTAAAAATATTATTGAAGTACTCGTCTATTCACTAACTTACAACTTTTAGGATAACTCTCTAATACTTTAATTTTTCTTCCACTACGTGGAAGTAAATTTGTCGTGCATAGATTTATTGGAATGTGGCACTGTTAACCTTTTCTTTATCTTACCTGAATCTAAAATTGGTTTTTGCTTGTTTTATAAACAAATTCTCAGATAGCTTGTACATACTTGAGCTTGTTTTATGGAAAGAAGCAACATTGTTTTGATTAATTGTGAACACCTTTTTAAAATACAAATTGCAATTCTAAAACAATTGCCATCAATATTCAGCAGTTTAAAGAAGTAATAGAACTATGACAGGAGAACTTAATGTTTTAGGAAAAGCCATGTTATTGTATAAAGTCATTTGTCCACCCAAAAATAATGAATGCTCATTATAGTAACCTTAGAAAATAATAATCTTTAGAAAAATAATAAATGACAGAAAAGTAAAGATGCTGAATGAAAGAAGTCAGTCACAATACCTGAAGATAGCTACTGTCAGCAGATTTCATATTTTATGTAGTGTTTTTTATTGTAGTTGTGACCATATTATACATGCATTTTTTGATTAGTAAACAGTTGAGTAAGCATCTCATTCCTAATGTTGGTAATTTGTGTCCTCTCTTCTTTTGTAATCTGTCTGGCTAGAGGTTTACCAGTTTTATTGATCTTAAAGGACCAACTGTTGGTTTCACTGACATTGTCTATTTTTTGGTTTTCTGTTACATTGATTTCTGTGTTTTTTCTTTTTCTACTTGCTTTGGATTCCTTTGCTCCTCTTTGTATATATTCTTAAGGTGGAAGCTGAGATCAAAGAAGAAACTAAGATCATTTCTTCTTTTCTAATATAGGCATTTAGTGCTATAAATTTTTGTTTTAAGTCTCGATGCTTTAGTATGCTACATTCCACAAATTTTGATATGTTGTTTTTCATTTTCATTCAGTTCAAAATGCTTTCTCAGGGAGACTCCCAGGTGTGACCTGGGTTTCTCATCCCTGTACTGTCACTTGGAAACTCCAAGCAATAAGATGGGACAGTCACAGGGCACGTGTCCTTTTTTTCACCCATCTCTCAGGGATCACTGTCCCATGCTGCCTCTTGTCCAGTGTCTGAAAACCATTGTTCTGTGTATTTTTTTTAGTTGTTTCTGATGCGAGGATAAATCTATGTTACTCCATCCTGAATAAGAGCAGACATCTCCAGATGTCATATTTTTATGAACATAATTTTTCTTGCAGTTATGATCATATTATACATGCAACTTTGTATACTTCTCTTTTCACTTAATAGGATGTTATAGTATTTTGCATGTTTTTCCATACTTCTAATGAAATATAATTGCAGTTTTGAGTTAAAAGTATCCAAATACGTTCAATATTCATATAGTCTTATGTTAATTGATATTTAGATTATTTCAGTTTTTCACTGTCAAAGCATCTGGCTGATGTTCCAAAAGTTCCCAATATCTTAATTATAGTGCTCCTGATATGGAAGAAATATTGACTGAATCAGAAATTAAATTGGATGGTGTCAGACAAAAGATATTGCAGGTAGCCCAGGAGCTCTCAGGAGAAGACATGCATCAGTTCCATAGAGCCATTACTACAGGTAAGTCTAGCTTCACTTCAGTGGTAACATTTTTTTTAAAAATAGTGGATTACATGATTTATCTGTGAGTTGCATGAATTTTAATTGACACTTGGTGAAATATTATTGCCTTTAAAAAATTGGGACCTTCTGAATAGTAATGTAAAGGTAATCCAAAAATGTTTAATTGGCTTTATTTTTCTAACTGTGTAGTAGTAGTTATTAATAGATTTTAATAAAGTAATTGAGAAAACAAACTTAATAGAATGAACTTTATTCTTGAATGAGTAGGGTGTTTTTATACCAGGCGCATTTCATTTCCCACTATGAGTATATCTCACTGCTGGTTTCAGTTTTAGTAGGTTCATAAAAGAGAGTGTATCACCTAGCCAGGTGGACTCAAACATCTCATAGTGGGAATTTTAGGATAGTACTGGATTTTATATATTCAGTTAAAAAGGTTTAGGGAGATCTGGATCTTGGTGATTATCACCATTTGCAAATTACTTGTATAAATACTTCAAATGCTTAATTCTTTCCTCTTCACTTGTTTCTTAATGTGAGTTCACTGACAGGAGAGATACTGTATGATTCAGACATATGCTAAAATTTGCAGAAAGACAAAGTCAAAGGTTGATTCATGTTTGCAGAAATACGTGAAAGTTCTGTATTCCTTTCTATCAAATGGCTGATTCCACTGAGCTCAGGTCAGTTAAACAGTGGGAAATGAGTTCATTTGGGATCTGCTCAGTGTATGTCCAATTTTAGTCTAAGCATAATGATGATTCAGTATTTGTATATATTGTGAAATCACCACAGTAAGTCTAGTTACCATACGTAATTTTTTTTCTTGTGATGAACTTTTAAGAGCTACTCTCTTAGCAACTTTCAAATATGCAATACAGTGTTATTAACTGTAGTCACCATGCTGTCCATTACATCCACATGACTTGTTTATTTTATGGCTAGAAGTTTGCACCTTTTGATTCCCTTCACCCATTTTGCCCACCCCATAATCCTCACCTCTGGGAATCACCTGAAATATCTTTTAGTTTGTAACATAAAGTACCTGCGTATATCAGTTAAAGCTGGGTGTGTGTTATTAGAAATTGAAGTGATAACTCAAACAGTTCTATGAGGAGTCATTATGGTATATTCCCAAAGGAGATACATTCCCGTCATCACAATTTATTGTTTACTATCAGGTTTATTTGGCTTTTTAAATAGTATCACACATAATAAAAAAGATTTAATGAATTCGATTTGTGTTGTCAAGTGGCACAATCTTGAATGTGACAAATTTGGCTGGGTTGGGAGAGAGGATCAGAGGTGTTGGTGGGAAGAAGGGTGAAGTGAAAGCTGAAACAATCCTCTAGAAGAAAACGAGAATATCTTGATGACCTTTTGGTAGGAAAGATTTTTTTAAAAGACAAAAAAATTACTAAGTGCTAAAGGAAAAATGGATCAAGTGAATTTCATTAAAATTAAGAAATTCTGTTTATCGAAAGACATCATTAAGAAGCGGGGAGGCAAGCTGAAGTTTGAGAGAAAACATTTAAATACATATGTTGGATAAAGGACTCGTGCAGAATATATGAAGAATTCCTACAAATCAACAAGAAGGCAGACGATTTTAAAAATGGACAAAAAACTTGAACGGGGCCTCCAAAAGTGAGCATTCAGATGGCTAATAAGCATATGAAAAGGTGCTCAGCATCATTCTTTACTAGAGTAATGCAAAGTAAAACCACAGTGAGATGCCATGCATTCACCAGCACAACTAAATTGTAGACTGACAATACCATTTTAAAAAACTTCCGCAGTATGTAGCTTTAAAACGTGCCTACTGGGGCCAGCCCTGTGGCCGAGTGGTTACGTTCACATGCTCCGCTTGGGCAGCCTGGGATTTCTCCGGATTGGGTCTCAGGCACGGACATGGCACTGCTCGTCAGGCCATGCTGAGGCGGCGTCCCACATAGCACAACCAGAGGCGCTCACAACTAGAATATACAGCTAATATACTGGGGGGCTTTGGGGAGAAAGAAAAAAAAGTGCCTGCTATATGATCATTTCTGGGTATGTACCCAAAAAAAGTGAGATTTACATACCAAAAGGCGTGTGTGAATATACACGGAAGCAAATATGAATCTCACATACATTCTGTTGGGCAAGATAAGCAGAAACAAAAGAGTATCTGCTGTATAAATCCATTTATGTGAAGTTCAAAAAGAGCCAAAATTAATCAGTAAGGTTAAAGGATAATGATTACCTGGGGGTGGAGATTTGGAGTAGGAGTTACTGACTAGAGGCTTGAGGAAACCTGGAGTGACAGAAATGTTTTATATTTTGATCGGAGTGGGGTAACATAGATGTACACGTATGTAAAAATTCATTGATTTGTACATTTAAGATTTATACAGTTTACTGTATATAAATTATAACTTTGTTTTGGGGGGGGTTGAGGAAGATTGGCCCTGAGCCACAGAAAAGTCCCTGTTGACTGATGAGTTCTTAGCTCCTTTTCCCAAAGAAGTTGTTTGTATCAGGAGATCACATCAATAATAATTCTTTGCAAGACGGTCTTGTGGTGAAAATATGTGCCATGTTTAGTGAAAATGGTCATGTCATTCATATGATCGATACTCTGTCAAAGCTCCTTTGGTGAGGTTTCTCTTGGGTAGTCTGTCATCTCTAGTTGGTAGGCAGGGCAGACACGTTTGTGGCAACTTTTGCTTATTCTCTTTGATTTCCTGAAATTTTTATATACCTCTGCCAGTGGAAGTGGAGTGGGGAGGAGGTGAGCTGGGAAATCTAGCACACTCACCTCTGTCAGTGCTCAGAGTTGGTTGGAATCCAGAAGTGGCATTTCTAGGCTGCAGGTATGTGGTAGATATCAGGGATGTAGATCACGAGCAGTGTTGTTTACCGGTTGTTTATACGTGAGTATTACACTGCCATAGGAGTCCCAGCGAGTGACTGCTGTCGCTCCTTCCCTTGTAGCTGGAGTAGTAGCTTTAACTGTACTCGAGGTACATCCATGACAGGCAGATACTTCAATCACAGTGGTCCTGCTGCGGATAAATAGGTATGCCTGCATAATCTTGAGGGCTACTGGGTGGTGGAGTTGGTGGTGGGGGAGCAAGTCGATCTCAGAGTTTCTAGAAAGTCCTTCATCTGAAGAAGCACTACAGTCTAAATGTCTGACTACATCAAAGTAAGCAGAAATCCCATCCTACACCTTCTTCTATCCTATTAACTTGGATAACCAAAGGCAAGAGTTTGAGTAACTTCCATAATCTAGGTCATTTTTTCTATCACATCATGCAGTAAACCTATTTTGTAAAAGTTCGTGGCATTGTAATACATGTAATAATTGACTACAGTAGTCTTCACTTTGACTTTAATCCATGCGTAAACTTTTGTATTTTTATAAAAACTTGTATATTTTCCTCACAGTGTTGGTGCTTCATCATATGATGTGTTTAGATTAAACTTGTCGATTCCATGTTAGTTCATCGGTAAGCCCTATTAATCCTTGCAACTTAAAGTTCCCCAAATATCAGTGGGACAGCCTAGATTTGCTGTCTTTGGCTCAGTAATCTACTTTGTATGTCCTTCATTCATCAATGAGTAAAGTGTAAGGAAAGACTTCAAACAAGGGTAGGGATCATATAGATAGTGATAGGAAAAGAAACCTAGAAAATTGCACTTGGCTTTTAGAACAAAACAGAGAAATGGAGGAAAAAAGGCAAAAAGGACATTTCGTTGAGTCAGTGGAGTGTTTTTTAAATAAGGAAGGAAGCACTGTTTCTTCGGTAGAGTTTAGGTAGGGCATTAATAAAATGGGATCAGTCTTCAGATTTTCCCACTTTACTGTATCATTGAGGATTATTATAAGCATCGTATTCTGTTTTAGGTCTTTGTTTATGGTTTGTAAGTTTTCTTTGAAGATTACCTACTCATGGATTAAAAATTTAAGGATTCTCTATATCTCACTTTTCTGTAAGAAGACTTTAAAATAAAATAGGTTCTTTAAATTGAAGCGATGATGTTTTTTCTTAAAGTTAAGGAATAAAGCAGTCAAAGAGGTATGTGGGACTTAAAAATTTGCTCACATTTTATTTGATAAAATAAGGTTATTTATAATTAGAGCAGCATTAACAATATGATGCTTATGAATAGCTTGCTGCATGTAATTGTTAAGTGCTTGTTTTGGTGTTACTCCAAATAGTTGTTCTTTTGACTTGAAGATAAAACAATTCTGGCATTGAACTAAAGGAGTTCTGAGCTTTTCCTCATTAAGAATAGTGCTAATGGCACGCAGAGCATTTCCCTGAGGGATACTTCTGTGAGCCCAAACATTGAGTATCCTACTAATAATTGAACAACAACCAAAAGTTAGGTCTGTTTTCTACACATTTCTTATCAGAATAGATTACACGTTGTCCCAAGGGATGGTTAAACAAATAAATGATTAATTAGTTTCTTGAAATAAATCACTTAAAAAAAATTTTGTGCCCTATCGTGTTTTTGTTTTGCTTGTCTCTTGTTGAAAAAATAACTGGAGAAAATGTCCTTCATCTCAAAGAAAAAATATTTCTTTTCTTTTTTTAGCTTAGTTTATATCACTATAATAATGTAAAAATTGTCATTTAATTTTGAGACATTTTGCTGCACCAAATTGAGTTCAGACCCTAACTAATATTTTCTCTTATCCAGGAATGTGAATGATGGGTTAAGTGGGTGTTTTGGGCCAGTTGGAGATATTTTTTAAGCCATCCTCCTTTATATTCATGACTTTTGCGGTATCCTTAAGTCATAGATATTATTTTTACCACTTCATAAGTGGGGAAATTGAAGCTCGCAGGAGTTAAGCAACTTGCCCAAGGTCATAAGCTAGTAAGTAGTACCATTGGTTTCTTACCATATGGATTTAATTTACCTATTGACTTTAGAACCTAACTTCTAGTAAAGGTTTTGTCTTGGCTTAAACTCACCTTCCCCCAAATATTAAGGTTTTC